ACCCATATTCACTGCATACGGCATGTCCCATCTAGATTATTACTATAATATTTCAGTGACACTATTTTTTGGCAGAAGGAAAGAGAAATTACAGAAAGTAAAATATATATGGAGATTTGGGGATAGTGAAATATGTGGGATGAATCATAATAGATTTTTGCCCTCTAAAAATAATGTATTTTAGCAATGGGACATGGTTTCGGCCAATTCCTTAAACAAATTAACAACTTGTGGTTTTCCTTCCTAAAAAAGATTCTTTATAGATTTTCTCTAGAACCACCGTCTCTTTACCTTTTTAAAAAAATGAATAACCTTGGTAAAAACAGCCCAGAAAACAGCATCAACATTTGAAAAGTAAGAATTATTAGTTGCTCGATAAGTAAGATTACTAATACAAGAAGCCCAGCTTGTTTTAAATTGGATCTTAAGATTAATGTAATATTTTATCTTGAAATGTACACATCTCTAAATTCAAAGCTTTATGAGAGAAATCGTATAAGAAGCTAAGGCTTCTTTTTATGCAATAGTACGTGCAAAAGGCTTAGAACCTTATCTGCAGGCACTATGCTATTTAAGTAATGTGATTAGTAAATACTTCTTTGGTCCCCACAGTAAAATTTCAGTTCTTGTGGTTTGGCGAGGTTCAAAACAAGCTAAAATGAGTAAGGATGCTGATTCTTTTGCGTAAACAATGGATATTTGTATCTTATTTGCTAGAATCTAGTGAGATAGATAGCAGTGACGTATTCTAAAATAGAATTAAAACATGACATTTGAGGCATATTCATACTCTCTCTCAGTTTCCATGTCAAATTTGCCCAGTAAATAATTAGATTATTATTAGGTAACTTCCAATCACCAGTATAGTAAACTATTTCTGATAAACTAATAGTTTTGAAGGCCAGTAACTGCCATTATGTTCAAGTCAGACACCTCATATACAAAAGCACCAAAAAACAAACTTCATCTAATAACTGCTGCAACATTTTGATTGAGCTAAACTATATCTTTTAGGGTCCTGACTTAAATCAAGAAAATGCAAACAAAGTTGGGGGAGGTCAGTTCAGAAACACTGGACAGGTCTACATGTGTCGCCAGCTGTGCAGTTGTTACTGGTTGGAAACTGATACTAGACCAGTTCAGACTAGAAATAAAATTCAACGTTTCTAGATAATGTAACTAACCATTAGATCAATACAACTGAGGACATGGATCTCAATTAATGCTTTCTGGAAATTTTCCAATGCAAGATAATTATAAGTTTTTTAACCCAAAATATTTCACCTGATACATCTCAGATTTGATCACCTTTCTGTGTATCAGCAAGTTCCCATGAAACATTCCTGGATTCCTGACAGCAGCTGATGTCTCCTGATCTTATCCTTCTCTTCAATAATCTAAGACAGGGGTTCTTAACCTCTGGTATATGAGCTAGATCTGTCATCTCGCCTGCAGCACACCCCATCAGTCCAGAAATTTGGCAGCAGGGAAGTGGTGGCACTGCTCCCCTACTGCCAAATCTACAGATTCAGACAGCCAGACAGGGTGGCACTGGGCCTCAGGGCCCAATCCCAGCACTGGGACCTAATCCTGGTACAAAGGGGGAAGAAGGAGGAGGTGGTGATGGACCCCAAACACTCAATCCCAGTTTGCAGGGAGAGAGGTGGTGGTCCCGGGCCACTGGGACCCAGTTCCAGCATGTGAGGGCAGAAGTGGGTAGTGCCAGGCTCCCAGGGTCCAATCTTGGCAAGGAGCGGCTGGTGCTGGGCTCAGTTTCACCCACAGATGGGTTCCACACTATTCATCTGGCCTCTGGCCCAAAAAAGTCAAGCACTACTGTTCTAAGAGATTGAGCTCCTTGTAGTCCTTCCATAAGAAACACATTTTTCAGACTCAGATAATTTAAATAGATTTTGTTCTAATCTCCCAGGTTTTGACATCCTTTCTGAAGTATGGCCCTCAGAAATAGATACAGTATTCAAGTAACAGTCACTACCATCTGTAGCTGCTTGTGGCACAGTGAGTGAGGCAGGAGGAGGAAAACCCCTGGTCGTACCCTTCCCCTTACCGGCACAGCGGTGGAAGCTCTCCCCAGTTATTGCAAAGACAGTGCAAAGCTGCTGTGGAGCTGGGCTAGCACTTCTGGCTGCCTGGATCTGTCAGGCAGAATTGCAGGGCAATCAGCAGAGGAAGCCATGGCTAGGGGAATTTTCTGTTCTGGATAGCTGGAAGCCCTCCAGCTGTGACCTGTGGCATGTGGGTTCCTCATTATGAATGCCAAGCAGCAGCTGGAAGGAGGATGCTGTCCCTGATGGGCTGGAGTCCCTGGTGGGCAGATACAAGAAGATGCCAGAACTGAAGAGAGAGGGCCCTGGATAGTGAATGATGGGACCCAAACTGGAAATGGGTGAGAAGCAGCTAAGCTGCCCACATTTCTTGATTTTCATAGAGGACGGACTACAGAGATTCCTGGCATAAAACCCAGAGCCCTCGCCTAGGGACCTTTTCTAGGCAAAGTTTAATAGCCCAGTGCCCACCCAGCATCACAGGCAGAGCCAGAGTTTATATACAGACTGTCATACGGAGGCCAGAGGCAGGAGGGTAGGCGTGGAGGAACTCCCGTTATAGACCTCATAAAGGGTCAAGCCAGCAGGTTTTTCTTTTGGTGCTAGAAAAATCTAGCTGAGCGAACCTTTTTCTTTAAGCAAAGTATCACTTCCTGATGGGACCTATTCTCCTTTCTTTTTTTACATCAACATTATGGCAGGAGAGAGCTTAGGCAGGAAGCAGAATCTCATTGGGGAACAAAATACTAGTGTCTGCACCCTTCCAGGCTGGCGCAGTGACACCGCTACATACAGATATAATGTCACCACTCTACTCTAACTCTTCTGATTATATATCCAAGGATTGTGTTTGACCTCTTGGCTACAATTTTATCCTGGGAGCTCATGTTCAGCTATTTCTTCCAGCTTCTAAGCATGATCTACTTTATATAGTATGACTTTGTACTTGTCTCTATTAAAACAAAAGTTCAGATGAACCCATTTTACCAAAATTGACTTAGAAATAGCTTGTAGAACTCCAATTTGTGTCAAATGTAAACATTGATTTTATATCTTCTTCCAGATCATTAATAAGTATATTGAATAGCACCAAGTCAAGAACAGTCTTGTGTTGTGCTCACTACATACACTCCTGTGTATGACAGCTTTTCCATTTACAATAATTTTATTATATACATTTACCAGATTCTATTCAATTTAATATTGGATACATTGATTTTGAATAGTACCATATTTTAAGGCAGAATATCATAGGAGACTAAAGCATATTCCTTACAGAATCTTTATAGTTTAGTTATCTTACCAACCAAATTTGTAATTGTGTAAGAAAATATATGAAATCTGAATCGATCTATACTTCTAGGAAATAATGTTGATTGTTGTTAATTATGCTGCCATGTTTTGATTTCTTGATTTAATGTCATTTTTGACCTTCCATGATTTTACCCAGGAGTTATGGTAAGCTGACTTGTTTAAATTGTATCATCCCATTTTAAAAGCTAGCACAACTTTATTTTTTTTCCAGTCCTGCTAGTGCTTCTTCCATATTCCAAGGTTTGTTAAAAATCAACATTGGTAATTCAGGGAGCTACTCAATCTTTTAAAAAATACATTTGAGTGCAAATTAACAAATTCTGCTGATCAATAAAATCTTTGACATATTTTTTAAGTAATGAATGCATGTTGCTTTTTTATTACCTTGTCTTTTAGTTAGTTATGAAATTATTGTTTAAATAATTTTCTCTAGAATCATTATAGTTATTGAAGTTAGTATGTAGTTTCCCAATTTCTCCTCCTCCTCCTTTTTAAAGTTTATCTTCACGAAGTTTCAGAAAAACCTAAGAGGGGTTCAGCAATTGCTTTTGGTAGATTGCTTTAAGTACATCAGGGTGAATTTCATTAGTTCCTGACAATGCTGTGTACTTCAGCCAATCTAAATATTTTTTAACCTGTTCTTGTCATCTTGTGTCCTTGTCCTGTTGTTAAAATTGCTTATACTAAGTATCGTATCACAATTAACTGTGTGAGCATGGCTGTATTATTGAAGCAATTGGATCCTTCGTTCTTCTCTGTTATCTGCTTTTTTTCTCCTTTCCTAATAATATATGAACCTTAACTCTCCTTTGTCTTTCTTGTACTTTTTATCATTTTCAGAACCCTTTCTTGAAGCCTTTTTTGTCCCTTGAAACTTACAATTTATTTTGTGCCTTTTTCTTTCTGATTTAATTGTTTCATTCCGATCATTATGTACTTTATCCCCCCATGTTTCCTTATACTCATTCTTTGTTATATAACCTTGCTTCCATTTTTATAATGCCATTATGAATTTTAGGTCATCCAAGAACTGTTGATGTAGCCATACTGGTCTATTACTATATTTTCTATCTTTCTTCCACAACAGGATAGTTGGCCATTGTTCTTTTAATATAGTCTCTTTCAGTAATTGCTAGCTCTAATGAACTCCTTCTCTTAGACTACGGCCTCAAGAGACCTTTCTACCAATTTCCTGAGTTTGTTGAAGTCTCCATTTGAAGTCCTTTGTCCTTGTTCTGCTGCAGTCACTTTCTCCTTTCCTGAGAATCATAACTCTTACTGTTTTATGACCAGTTTCACCTAAATTCACTTCCACCTTTGGTTTCTTTAGTCTCTTCCTATTAGTTAGTATCCAAGCTAAAATAGTTGCTCCCCTAATAACTTCCTCCAGCTAATGAAACAAAACATTTCTCCCAACACATTCCAAAAACTCTGAACTGTTTGGGCCCTCCTATGCTGATTTTACAGTACATATCTGGGAAAATGATATGCCCCATTACCACCAATTCCTTTGGGTGCCTCAGTTAGTTGTTCAAGAAAAGCTTAATCAACTTCTTCCATTTGTCATGGGAACCCTAGTATGACATGCTTCTTATGCTTATCTTTTTTATCTTCCCTCAGAGATATTCAAGAAGCTTGCTATTTGCTTCTTACTAAACTTTGGAGTAGGTATACATTTTTTTGATATGCAAGTTGAACCTCTGCCTATTCTTTTTTCATTGTCTTTAATTTCATTTTCTTTCCAGCTTTCGCTAAAACAATACAATAATATTTACAATAACATTATGTAATAATAAAATAATGTAATAACATGTATGGTTTTTGGTAAAAACATATAGTAAGATTACACATTTTGCCAATTTAAACAAATGTAAAAAGAACGTAGTATATGGTGATAAAATGAAGCAATATAAAATAGAATAAAACAATTAAAATAGGGAAAAATATTTGATTTTGTGACTTATTCTTTATCCAAATTTACCTGCTGTTGTGATTCTGTGGTAGAATCCTTGTCTGCCATGCAGGAAACCTGGGTTTGATTCCTAGAAGTGCATATAAGTACATCAATTGAGGCACCAAATGTCCAGACTTGGTCTGGCCACTGGATGCTGTCTCGATGGTCTAGATGGGGAAGGGAGGTCTGGGTAGCTTCTCCATCTTCTGGCCTAGGCATATATGTCTAAGGTCCTGGCAGACAAGGTTCTTTGGGTAAATCTGATATCTATTATTAGACCAACTCAAATGGTTGGAAACATTTTTCTTAGAAAGCTTTTGGGCACAAACACCCTTTGTCAGACTGAGGACGCATCTGCGAATGGTTTGTGCTCTTCCTGAATGGAGTGATAAAGCAGCCAGAGGCCAGTATGTATGCAAGAAAGCCAGTCAGTTAAAATGTAAATTGAGGTGGTCAGTAGGTGAGAGATGGGGGGAGAGAAAGTGGGAATGAATGTAGCTGTAGACAAAGAATGAACGGGGTGGGAAAGGGAATAAGAATAGCTGGTGGGAAGTGGGGGATTTATCTGGGGAGTCAGATGCTAGGCGGGTTATAATGTGAGATAAATCCAATAACTATATTTAGTCCACGTATTGGTGACCTCTCACATCTATATTTATCTATATAATGTCTATATTTAGTCATATACATTGGTGACCTCTCATGTATACACCATAATTCAGAAGGATTAATGGTTGCCTACTACTTTGTGCCAGTAGGGAGTATAGAACAGGTTGTGAGAGAGGAGCCACATTTTTTATTAGGCCAGTATTTAAAATTTTCCAGAGATCCATTTTCCTTCTATATCTTCAGAGAATGAGCAAGACCACAAACAGTGATTTGTCACCTATCTCATTCTTCCATCAAGACCATATCCTGTCTGTAATATTGGGTCCGACACCATCTGCCCACAAAACTGCACAGCTCACTACAGTGAAACAGTCTTATAATGGCTTCTTAGTTTTGTACTTCAGATAGATAGGTTTCTATGGTAAGAGAGTAATTTGTTAATCTCAAAAAGGAAAATTTGAGAGAATCTCACTGCCTGCATTTCTGTCTGCATGCTGATATCCTTAATTCTTAAATGTGTATCTTGTTTTAAGTACAGGAGAAATACTGGGTCAGTAACTGGCATCCTATTTCCCAGACCATTTTTCTGGAGAAGAATATACGCATTATTTAAACATCTAAATAAGTGTGAATTTGGAACAGAAGAGGCTTCTAAAGTGCACCTCTTAGGCTATCTGATAGAGGTACATGCTTTTATTTTTATCCAATAATTTAGAGTTCTTGATTGAGCTAAAGTGCTCACACTGAGCAGACATGTTTCAGATTGCATAAGCCTCCCCCAATGACAGAAGTGATAAAAGCCTAGATAAAAGCTGCCCTAAAAGTTGTTATTTTTTTTCCTTGTTTTGAGTGAACCATGGCATCTGCACCCCATAATTCTGTCCCATACTGTAAAATGGACCCTACCTTAGATCTATAGACCTTTAGTGCTGCCAGTATCACCCTTCTTCTGGTCTTATTGTAAAAGTTCTGCTCAAGGCTTGTTATACTTTACTGCTTACATTTTCTATGTGCTTATTCCAGTTCAGATTTTTTTATTAAAATAAACTCCAGGGTATTTAAATGAGAATACCATCTCTAACCTCTTTTTCTATAAACATCATACTTGTTTTCTCCTTTCATCCCCCCCCACCAAAAAAACAATACTTTAGATTTAGCAGTGTTGATTTCCAAGCTACTTAAGATACAATATTGCTGAAAAGCATCTAGTAACTATTGGACACCTATCCAGGATTCTGACAATAAAAGTGCATCTGCTGCATAAACAAGACAGGGATAGATTCATTTAGCATCATGGGTATGTGGAATTGATTCCTCATTAACCCATGTTTTAGATCATTCAGAAATAGATTAAAAAGTAGTGGAGTAAGCATATAACCTTGTCATATACAGTTTTAGTTGGAAAACTACTGGGCAGGACACCAATGATCCTGTAATGCACCCTAGATGTATTTAAATAGTAAACAATGATTAACTGTAGAAGAGCTCTGTCCATTGATGTTACCACCTGCCTGTTCTTCTTGAACAAGCTATACTATACTAAATCAATATTTTGGTCCTGTGATTTATCCCACCAAGGCTGATTTTTCCCCCCTTATTGTAATGAAATAATTTAGAACAAGGGTGTTATGAGGAAATTAGCCTTTTTGTTGTGTTTTGGAAAGAAATCTTAAAATAATGGAATTTTCTGAAGGACGGAAATTCAATTTTCCAGTCACCAAAGGAGTTTTTCAAGGAAGATGCTCTTTATGGCTAAGCAGCAAGTGGCAGCATTACCCATCTTCCTAGAATTCAGCTATGACAAAAATGAAAATATGGAACTGGGAAAACCTCGACAGCTGTAGGAATATATTTCAGAGCAGCCTCCAGTACATCGGCTTCCTATTCAACAGCCAAACAAGCTGAACTCTCTGAATATGTAAAATGAGGTCAGGAGTATCACTGAGTCAGACTCCTTCACAAGTGTTTGCAAGTCTGGTGAGGACTAAAACTTCTAGGAAAAGAAGCCAAACTTTTCTGAAACTCGATAAGAGGTTCACGTCTAGCCATGATTAAAGGTCTTAGTTCACATTTCAAGAGAAGTTAAAGGTTTCCTCACTTTTTTGTGTTTAATCTGAGTTAGTTCACTCTTCAAAGTGCATATTCATACTCTTTTAACAGTATTAAGGAACTACCATGATGAGTTATAATTAACTCAAGATGATACTGTCTTTAAACTATCCTAACTAATGGGAAAGATCTTTAAACTAATACAGCAATTTATGTGACATGCTCTGGTCAAAATAACAGTAGCCAAGGATCAAGGAGATCAAAAGCCTTTTTCACCCTCTTGACCAAAACTAGCTAATATTTACATACATTTCATTATCAGAAGACTATTTTTGAGCTGCACTCGAAGTCTTCTATCAAGACAAATCAGGATAGTTTCTTTTATAATGAGTGTTTGGAGTGAATTCAAATCAAACCACTATGTAACGGTTAAGCTAGATAATCCAGGAAAGGTTCTTCTGTGTCTTTAAGTAACTAGTATACATTCTTAACATTAAGCCAGTTTTACATTCCCTATTACACTAATGCATTTTTAATTGGAAAGAGCTAGATAAAATCTTTGTTATTTCCTTTCAGTGTCTAAATTCCTGTTTGTTTGTCAGTTTGTTGTATAAGGTTTGCTGAATAGAATGGAAGATAAAATTATGATCTAGATTTTAGAACATGTGGATCCAACTTAATTATCATAACTTATTCTATTATATCTGCTTAAAATAATATAAACCAAGCAAGAATTCAAGGTAACTTCTAGGGCTCAGATGTGTTTCTCTTGATAACAGTTACAACTAAGGAATGGAAGTGAGGATTGGGGAGTGGGAATGACGCATCAGATTCAAGCTTGGTTAATTTTTCAACAATTCATTATTGTACAGTTTATAATACTTGGTATTTTATTGCTTTGTGTCACTTTATATTAGTAATGTCAAATCATCACAGTCTGTAACATGGCACTCTGGAACTTGACATGTGGATATAATGAAATAGCGAAATGCTAAATAGGAGTCTATTTGTCTTGGCAACGTTTATCCACTTTTAGCTTAGATAGTATCTAATCAGGATCCAAGAATAACATGAAGTAGAAAATGGAGCACTTTTCTACTCTTGTATTTTCTTTTGAAACAATTCAGAAATGTGCTAATACTTGATCTATGTGGATTGTAGCCACACCAAATTGTTGACGTTTTGCCCTTCTTCCCCACTGTAACCCTCCACCTAAAATCTGGGTATGCTGCGAGATGTCATACTAGACAAGTTGCGTGTCCATTATACATTACAATCTTTACATAATACCATTATGCAATCTATATGCAGCTCTAAATGGATAGCAAAACAGTCAAACATAGTTAAATGTGGCAAACATTTTTCCATGTTCAGAAATGTCTGGCAAGAGCCATTCGGATTTATTGCAAACAGAATAGAATATTGGAGATTTCTTCAAATTAGGAGCTGCATGTAAACTAAGAGAGATGAAGATAAAAACAATGGAGCTTTAAATACACATATGGCTTTATTTTAGAATACTCATTTCTTAGGTAACCTCTCAAAATGAAAATTTCTCTGGGAAAAATATTTTATAAAAGATATACTTTGATTGGTATAACATGATACCTTTTTGGAGTGCATAATCACAGGACTAATGCTGTGGTAAAATAATCTTTAGGTCTAATCTAGTTTCTATTGAAATCAGTTACTGTCAACTTTTGTGAAAACAGAAATAGGTTCTATATTGAGAACCTTCTATAGATTATGCTGAATGTCAGATAGTTTACAGTGCTACTGACCATTATGTTTAAGGTTGCACAACAATTTGCCCCTTTAACCTTTTGTTACTCAGAAGTTTGAAAGCTTTGCTTTTTTTAAAATCAGGATGTAATTCATAGTCCATTGTAGTCAATGGCATCTTTTTATTGACTTTGTGAACTTTAGATTAGATCCCAAGTATCTGATTTTCATCCCACAGACAGATTTTCTTTCGTATAGTTACTTCAGATTCATAGCAGAAGACCTATACAGAGAATTAGCCATTTAATTTCTGTCAGGTGATGATTTCCA